ACGTTACCTATACCATGACCCCAAACACCTGGAACATCAAAATTGTAGCGCTTGCTACCACTAAGAAGACGCCCATCATGTTGACTTCCCACGTGAGTAAATTGCTCTTTGATGCATATTGCAAAGCTAATCAAGATAGACCTACTGGAACTTGGACGGATTCGGTAACCCTGAGGATGAGACCATCTTCAACCACACTTTCCACATCCCATACTCTGGCCAGCGCATGGATGTAGATGCCATTCTTATCCCCACCGGTACTATTCTTCCCAACGAGCAATACTCTGTCAACGACTTTTGGTCGGCGCCCAAGCAGATTGGTGCCAACCAGACTGCGCCCGAGCTTCTCGGCAACTGCGGAACTAACTGCACCGGTTACGACAACTGTTACCTTGTCAACCGCGACGAAGCTGAGGCTCTCGACTGGCGCAACTCTGGACCTGTCGCTTCTCTGTGGAGCGAGTGGTCCGGCATCAAGCTCGACGTCTACTCTGACCAAGCCGCGTACCAGATGTACAGCTGCCCCGGTCAAGATGGTATGTGAAATCCGCAAAATCTTCGTACAGCCGCTAACAAAAGCGCCAGGTACTCTGCCTATCAAGTCTACCCAAGGTGCTGAGGGAAGCAGCGGCTACGTCCCCAAGTACGGCTGCGTCGTCATGGAGGTTCAGGACTGGATTGACGCCATCAACCACCCCGAATGGAGGCGCGAGAAGGAGCAGATCTTTGGTCCCTCCAGCGGAGCTTACACGCTCGAGGCCCAGTACGTGTTCTCTACCACTGAGTAGATTTCGCCCTGCCGTAATGAAAGAGCGGAGCCTTGGATAAGGCGACATGATACCACGTGCGATAGTATAATTAGACACCTTTTGAGGATGTCGTAATGGTAATCCAGGTTATTTCCTGCTTCACGTCGGGTTTTTGCTTTGCTCTGTCTGTTGTGAAACTCCTTTTCGTCGGTCACCATGGATTTGCAGTCACCTTGGATTAGCGGTCACCGTGGATTAGCGGTCACCGTGGAGTTGCGGTCACTGCGGATTCGTTGCCGTCGTCGTTGCCTACGTCCCTGTCCATCTCGCCGACTGCACCTTCCTTTACACCTTTATCCTCACCAAACAACTCGCCATCTTGAGGGCGAGAACTTGCTATCCAAAGACAGCCCCAAGGGGTCGTCTATACGATTCTAGCTAGCAAGCCGCTTGATCCCCATCCTCCTTACCTTCACCATGGCTGGCGGTCACAAAAACCGCAGCAAGAACCGCCGCAAAAACAAGAACAAAGGCAACGCCAAAGATGCCACCGAAGAAGGCCCCAAAGCCAGCGATGAGGGTAAGGCAGAGAGCTCACAGCCGCCCGCACCCACTAACCTCAAGTCCCCCATTGACCTCCCCGAGCTCGACACGCCTAACACTACTTCATCCCTGAACTTCGCATTGCGCAAATTTACACCTCAACTGAGCACGACTGACAAAAAGAAAGCGGGTAACGAAGCAGATCCCCAGACTCCAGTTGTGAACCCTCCTGCGCCTCGATCTGGCTTCGATGATTGGACGTCTCCAGCGCCTGACGTTCACAACAAGCCCGAGCCCGGGCCCTCCCAATCTCGAAAGAGCAAGACCACTCGCGCTATAGGTCTCGCTCGCGCTACTGATGCAGCGAAGAGGCTGCACCGCGTCTTGGGCATAGCACCACCGGAGCCATTCGTTATGCCGCCTGACATGCCGGAGGGTCTAAAGGAAGAGTTCGAGGCTGGATTGGAGGAGTATGGACTCGATAAGAAGATGCAGAACCTTGGGTTGAATGTGCTGAGTCAAGCGGCAGGTATGCAAAAGCCTCTACCGGATAAGCCGCTGTTTCCTTCTCCTCAAGTTGAGGCAGAGACTTGGGATGAAGGAAAGGGCAAGGGCAAAGGTAAGGAGCCCATGTCTACTCCAACAGCCAAGGGTAAGCAGCCTATGGCACCTATTCAAGCTACCGTCGCCATCGACGCCCCATCAGGAGTAGAGCCTTCGTCAGCTAAGAAGCGTGTGTCGCCTCCAGGTAGCGATGAGGTCTCCGGCCCGGCACCCAAGGGTTCCCGTATAGACGGTACAACCGGCCTACCGACCCTTCCTGAGTCATCTTCATGGGATATCGATTCCCCCGGGTATACTCCCGCGCTCCTCACCATCCTCCTGAACTGGTCCTTCACAGTACAGTCATTCTACCGGCGCCTTCCAAACCCCAAGGCATTCCGTGCCCATGCCTCATTTCCCTTCCCCGTCACCGCTCCCATATACAACCACCTCATCTCCGTCGGCTTCTACGACACCAGCGTCGTTCCCCACAAGGAGATCCGGTTCTTGGGTCCAGGTGACGCGGCTGAGATTGCCTACGCAGAAGTCGATGTATTTCGCGGCAAGGACGAACGCGCTGCTTTCGAGGAGCAAGAGCAAAAGCATACGAAGCTCGAGGAAATGAAGAAGAAGCTGAAGCTTGGACGCGGGTACCGTGGGCCGGGAGGAGAGGCGACTCGATCCCAGGACCAGATGCATCTTGCCATCCATAGAGAGGGACGGTGGGCGTATGTCCTGATCAAGGGTCACCCCACCTCGCCTGAGGACATCGCGCCGCCGCATATCATGCTCGCGTGGCACATCTCCGCCGTCACCGATGTGTCGAGTTGCCTGCACACTGTCTTTCCCGAGAAGGATGCTCCTGCACCTGGTCACCCGTCCACGACCCCGACATCTTCCAAGGAGCCACTGAAGCCCTTTGCTTCCCTACAGAATCTCGTGAGCGGAAGCCGTGGCCAGAAGCATCTCCATCGCGAGATCCGCTCAGCCTCGAGCACTTCGGAGCTGCCTCAGGTGGATGCATCGAGCATTGAGCCGCATGATGGTGCGCTGACGTTGAAGAGGACGGTCGCCAAGATGGAGAAGGCTGGAAGTATACCGCTTGTTGAGGGCTTCCGGGTTGACGTTGGGCAGTTCAAGGGATGGCTGGATGCTGTGGGTAGGGGAACAGGCAAGCTCATTGTTTGGAGGAAGTAGTAGTCTACTACTCTACCATCCGCACCGGCTGCCTAATATGTGGCATCAGTGGCTTGCAGTACGAGTGGGCGAAGGAATGAAGTTGGGTTGGTTGTTCGGAACAGATGCTTCGAGCGAGGACAGTGTGTGAACTTGCTCTCGATTGATACAGCAATCGCTTGAAGCTAGTCATCGTTCTGTCTTGGCGGTTCCGTTCTAACTACACACTATTAGCTAAGACCACCCCAGGTATCGAATTTACTTCTGCCCCAAAGCTATCCCAAGAGACAACGCGATCGTGATGCTCTTGAAGCCACCAGATTTAATGAGATTTGATGCAATTTGCTTACATTGAAGTGAGGCGCGTCATTGCGACACATGGTGGTCCCTTATCCAATGGTTCACGTGTTTCCTGAGCCGATACAACACGGCCTCTTCGTCCATCGTTGGCAGGCCACTTTCATCAAGTCGCCTGTTAACATCTTCTGCGAGTTCCATTCGAACATCTTCGGGAATATCCATCCAGTAGCGGAGTCCTTTTCTGGGAATCTTTTCCATGTTTGCATTAACCGCCTCGCGAAGTACTTTCTGGGGAAGTGGGTTAGAATATGTGACAACGCTCCGTGTCACCGAGCGAACGCGTGACATTGTACTTACATAAGGGAATGATCTCTGAGCTACCTTCTCCCAGGCTTCGTACTGATCTGCGACTGTTATCGGTTAGCATCGACAAGGGTCATGTGCCGAGAGTATGCATACAACGCTGGTAGTGGCGCAGCTCTGGCAGAACCTTTGATACACGCCACTCAATCCCTTCATCGTCTACTGGGGGAAGCCCTTCCTTCACAACAGACTTCCTGATCGTTTGAATCAAGTATTCCTTCTCTTTTGCAGTGAGCTCGGTCAATGTGGAGCGTGTGAAGTCTTTGCAAACTGCGAGTGAGACACGCTGCGAGAAAGTTAGCACTATGAGCACGTCGCGACAACGGATTGAGCGAGATTTGTACCAGGAAGATTGGCCATTGTTTCTCAGATAGTCCCAGAGTTTCCCTAACGGTACTTCTACTCATGCGCCGTGGAATATGGGTCCCGGTTGCCCAGAGAAATGCTGTGATCCTCATTGCGCGGGTTATCCAACGCGCAAGGTTGGCAACATCGCACGGGCTAGATCAACTCGGAAATAAGAAGATTCAGGTACCGTGGTATCCGGTCTGCTCGTACGGGTCCAAGGCTGTCGTGTGGTGGTATGGTGTTGGAGATGTGGGGAATGCATGGCGGCGTTCCATGTCGCGTTTGACAGAGTGCAGACATCATGACCCTTGCATTAGCCTATTTTCGGACCACGCTAGCATCCTAGCGGCAAAAAACAATCCGATCCACCACACAGCGTCGTCGACTTCGCGCGCAACACATGATGGCCCCAATGCGGCGTCAACTTATCTACGATCCTACGGTTTGAGAGCCTCACTGAGAGCCTCAGCCGCTTATTGCGCATGTTCTATCGAACTCAAACCCCGTTCCGAGGCGGGGCGGTGCCCGCCGCAAGGTACCATGCCGCATGTGTGTGATTGGGGCCAAAAACGCAGGTGGCAGGCAGCATATTTCATGCTCTGTCCTTGGAATCCTTCCTAGTACCTGTGTAGCTGTTCAAGCTTTCCTTTCTCTATCTCATTTTTCTTTACTGCTTTTCAATTTTGGCGACGATACTTCCCTGTACTCTCGAGTGCCATGGCTTATGAACCCGTTGGACCCCAGGCAAAAGGTCCACATGTGTCGGTGGAGTATGATGGCGGCCTGAACATCCAATACGATTCCGGGGCGTACAACACCGCCCCGCATGTTCCCCAGGATAGCGATACGGAATACAGTGTTGATAATACCAAGAGCGTATCGCAGAAATGGCCTTCAGATTTACGGAAGGTTGGGAGGATTACGCCGTTGAAAGCACTGGTCCTGGTTTTCGACGTGATTTTGGCTTCAACGCCTATCATGTTTCTGGGTGAGTACGATCGATCTCGGCGTGACCACACTGAGCTGCTTTAACGATTACATCGACCACTTGCTGACACGCTACAGCTCTGGCCCTTATCGCTGCCAGGTTGAACGGGAAAGAAGTATCGGACTACGGTACCAAACTGGAACAAACACTTCTGCTTTCGCCGACAATCTTCCCCCTAATCTTCGCGGCCTTGATGGGAAGGTTCTTCCGACATGTTGGTCTCTTCCTTGCTCAACGAGGCACAACTCTCGGCCGTCTCGAACAGCTGATTGGTTGCCAATCCGTCTTCTCCGCACTCGAACGTCAATTTTGTCTGAGATCCTGGTCTATCCTTGGACTTGCATCCGTCTTGATTTGGCTCCTTTCGCCAGTCGGTGGACAGTCTGCACTTCGTCTTATTGACCAAGAGATTGGAAACGTCCAGTTTACCAAACAAGTGCGCTACCTCCATCCGACGACGTTTATGGATTCATTAATGGAGACTGGTAATACCCTTAGTAAGTTCACATGTGCCAAGCTCAATTTAGACGTAAACTGGCTCTATACTTACACTATTCGTAGGTTCAGGCCGTAGCTCCTTCACTCCAATTTTCCTCACATCTATACTCAGCAGCACCAGATACCGTACTACGCCCATGGACCTATGGGGAAACGTCAAACTCCCGCTCTACCGCACTATCGAGAACAGTACGTCTGACGAGTGGAAGTTTGTGCCGAACGGTACAGCCGACAACGTCACATACGCTTCCCTAATCGGTATCCCGATAGCCGGACCTCCCTCTGTCGGCATTAGCTCTTTCAACATCGAAGCTCGCCAATTTGACGTGACATGTTCAAGCAACAATGCATCACGAGGAGAACCTATAGATTTTGTGTCAAAATATACGTGGCAACTCCAAGTAGTTAACGATACAGCGCCTCCGCCTTGCAAAAAGAACGAGACGTCCTGTGCGCCCCCGGTTTGTGCCAGTTACCCCTGCCCAATCCGGAGTGAATCTCTCGTCGATTTGGATACAGAGAAGTACTCAGTGGCGGATTGCGGGCTTTCTTTCGAGAAATATGAAGTCGGAGTGCGCTGCAATGGGACGGAGTGTGCCGCTTATAAGATGAGGAAGATGTACTTGTATGACGAGGACTACCCAATAGGCTACGATATCGCCGTAAGGAGGCAGTTCATGGCTACCGCACTCCTCGCCATGACGAGCGCGGACAACTTCAATATGCCCGCTGCAATAGCTCGAGGCGCGACGACTATGGAGAAATGGCTGCAGGACCCACTCGACTTCACCGGCGTATTCTTTGGAAACGTCGAACTCTACAAGCTGTCGCCGCAAGTCTTCGGCGACCGTCTGACTATAATGTACAATACATTCTGGCAATCCACATACGCCAGCAGAGCGATCGGCGGAAATTTACCAGCATCCGTGATGGAAACAGGCGCTATGAACTTCACCCAGGCACAACGTGCAGACGCCAATATTACATTCGTCGCGACCGAAGCCAATGTATCGCAGGATACGATGCCAATGTACAAAACAGATTGGAGATGGTTCGCAGCATTATTGGTTTGCTCATTCATACTGCTTGCCGCCGCGTACACCGGACTCGTACTTAAGTACATCACGATCGCACCGGATATCATCGGCTATGCATCCTCGCTGACGCTTTTGAATCCCTATGTCCCAACGCCTACGGGAGGAACCACTTTGACTGGATTGGCGAGAACAGCGTTGATGCGCGACTACCCTGTACGCATAGGAGATGTCTGCCCGAATGAGGCCGTGGGCGCGATAGCATTTGCGAGAGCCGACAGGAACGTAGGAAAGCTAGACAGGAAACGATTATACATATGAGCCTACAGAATCGTAGAATAGCGGTGTTGCTGGCACTATCCAAAGATTATAGAAGAACAATAATGTACATCACAAATCATCGATCGCAGTAATGGCTGATCATGCCTCGGAAGGTCGCGCGTCAGATCTCGCGACACACCGCATGCCATCTCATGTGCGTCGATGCAACTCACCACAGAATCTTCGATCCATCCAACGAGATTCTCGAACACTATAACGTATCACATATTGTCGCGCCGCGGCTATAATCACCACATGAAGCACACCGAGACAAACGACGCCATACCCACGCGGCTCGCGAAATCCAGGATCATGGCTGCAAGCAGCTGTCACCACCTGTCAAACCTGCGCTATAAACATTTTCATTCTTAACAGTAGCTTGAGTGGTGTAGTTGTTTAGTCGCGTAGCCGATTCGAAGGTAATGAGGCATTTGGTGTGTCGACTCCAAGACCTGCGGGGTTTCAGGTGCCTGAGGCAGCAATTTGGAACACCAACACCGGCGGGCACTGGCATTGCAACTCCGCCTAGTAATTTTGCGATGAGCGCTGGAGATCTGAGTGTAGGCGCCGTGGGGGTAGGTGTGCGAGTATATATATGTACCAAAGATGCCTCTTGGAGAAATCCATCATTCAGCCTACACTCATTCTAACACGTTCACTTCATTTCATTCTCTATACTTCACTTCTTCAGCGCTCGGTCGCCCCATTCATTCAATACCACATTAAGATACCCATCACTTTAACGCACTTTCATTCCAAATACTTCAATTTGTCAACATGAAGTTCACCAGCACCCTCCTTGTTCTTAGCGTCGCTGCTCTCAGCAACGCACGCGCCATCTATGTTCGCCAGAACAACGCGCAGACCTTCACCGGCGCTCTCGGTGGTGTCGCAGCTACACCTATCCTCGACTCCGGCATCGCCAACCGCCCCTTCAGTGTCAAGGGAGATACTTTTGTCAACCTCTCGGGCGCCCTCCAGCGCTCTTGCGACCAGCAGTTCAACGGCTGTGCAAACTTGGCCAATGGTGGACAGGGAGACTTCTCCACTCAGGACTGCCAGGCTCAGAAGCGTGAGTTCGATGATAATAGTCGTTTGGAACGATGCTAATCATGTGGTAGGACAATGCGATGCTGCAGGCGCTGGCAACTAGAATTACCCTTTGAGGCAGTGAACCGGGGTATGCTGGAGGTCTTTTAGCGGTCAGCGAGGGGCTTTGCGACGAGGGGCTATGCAGCATACATACTCTTACGATTAGACGCAACGCAATTTATGAGATCCCATTAGAACGTTCACATACGCACCTCTTCTGCCAATGATAGTGACTCAGGATCATGTCTGCACTAGCCCTTTCTCTTTCTCTGCTTCATCCTTCCCCGCAGAATCTCTCTTCGGCAAGTTCTTGAGGCACGGCGCATTGAACAGACGACCGCTCCATGCACCGCGTGCTGTGCCAACAGCTACTACACACCACAGCAGAATGACGGCAACGGCGAAGATCGTCCCTAGGACTCTGAAGAACAGACTCGGGAAGATGTTGCCAAGCTCCATCGTACTAAGTGCCATGACTCCAAGGGGAAACGTGAAACCCCACCAGCCCATGTTGAATGGAAACGGCCGAGACTTGTAGATAGATGCCAGTGCGAAACAGAGCCAAGTCAGCCCAAACGCCCACATGATGAGCGCCAGAAAGACTCCGAAGACGAAGAAGATGTCGCCTGCCATGGGTATATCTGAGAAGAAATCCGTCTCTGGAAAGACCCGTCTGCTGACCCAACCAAGATAGGTTATGGAATAGCCGCCCATGCCTAGGGGTCCTAGTGGCAAGAAGGATGACACAACAATCTCTCGTGGTGGTAGCTTGTGCAAAGCCAGGCGTGTGTAGTACATGACTAGAACCGTCATCGCTAGTGGTGTAGACATACCCCACATAATGTACGAAGCAATTATCGTACCGAGAGCATGTTGCGGGTTGGTCAAATGCTCTGCGACTCTGGCACCCGTCCCAGCAGCGACTATGGATGCAGCGATGGGTAATAGCTGAGCTGCTGTGATGCGATCTAAAGCTTGACGATCAGATGCGGAGATCAGTAGGATCGTGAGTGATATCGTGACTGAGACAGCGACTGCAGAATCGATCATCCAGCAGACCCAAGCAAAGGTAACGGCCCAGGGCCCCCAATATGGGATGCATATTGAGCACCAAGCTGATATGAGGGTAGCGAATCCCATCGGAATGGTTCCAAGGAAAAGCGAGTTGACACTGTCCGCGATCATGACGGTCCATATTTCAGGGTATACCACATATCGGAAGACTGAGACTGAGAAGGCGCAGGCGAACAGGATCGTGTTGAGTCCAAAGAAGATCACCGCAAGCCAATACAACCAGTCTGCTTTGAACGGTATAGCGACGAGAAGTAGAGAAACTACTCCCGTGCCCATGGTCACGGAGAACCATGACGGCGAAAAGTTCCTCACAATCCTGCGCCAGCCCACCTATGCTTGTTTAGAGTACATCTCCAAGCCTCGTGTGTTGAAAACGTACATCGTATTTCGTCAACTCCCCAGATGCGACCGTAGTATTGGAACCGGTAGATTGAGCAGCTGACGTCGATGTCGGGCCCTGAGACTTCAGCCGTCGTATGGGAGCCCGCTGGGCCGCAGGCGCAGTCAGAGCAGGATTATCCGACGCGACGCGATCCAGTTCGTAGTCATCCATCTATGCGATGCGCTGTCCGTGTTTGCATAGCAGTCAGGCCGGCTGGAAATGCCATCTTGGATAAGACACCACTTTAGCGATGACGATGCAGTCGCCGCGCCGCCATTGCCCGCTCGCAAATCCCAGAGCCCAGATCCAATCACGTGGGTAGCACGGACCGATCAGTTTCACAACACTGAACCTCGTCGAAAAGGCTGAACCTCACTTCAATCTTCTCCGCAAACTTCCTTTGATCACGTCAGCTTCCTGTCGTCACCCCCGCATCCCCATTCTCTGGTCCCGCAAGCAGCGAGTGCAGGCCTGTACCATACTCAATAATCCTTCGGTCTCGCTTCCGAACATCCGTGTGCCTGCCGCTGGACCCTGATCTTCGACAGGCGCATTCGCACTTTTGGTCACCAACACCATGCCCGGCTTTTTGGATCTTCCACTTGAACTCCGAAACCATGTTTACGAGGTGTTGCTTAATGAAGAGCTGGGTCGTTCTTTCCGCGGGGTCATGGTGGTGTCAGAGCATTACGTGAGGAACGATTTACCGCTTCGGTGTTATCGCGGGCTGCTCCGCGTGTGTCGCCAGACGCATGGAGAGTTTAAGCAAGCAATCCAACACCTGGTCGCTGCGAAACGCCTAAACTACGAATTCGACATTACCTTCTCACATGGCCGGCCGTACTTCTCGTTGAGCTGGGTTCAATTTGCGGCGCTTTCGCCTACCATCAATCAACTTCTTATCAACGTCGACTTGCGCACAAGAGAGCCCCTCCGAGACGGGCCGCGCGAATCTTTTGTTCCTCACGAGCACGAGCTGGCTCATTTGTTGGAGCACTCGCCGACTTGTTTTGCCAAACAGCTCTTCGATTACATTGCTATCTTCCTGAAGACACTTGCCAATCTATTATTCCAGGGCAATCCTCATTTCAGTGTGTTATACACCGAACGTATGATATTGAATCTGCGTACGCCAACGAAGGTGGTAGCGCTCGGGGGAAACGGCCACAATCCAATCACCCTGTCGCGGCGGCTTCGTGTCGACCAAGCCGAAGCTCGCAAGTTGCACAACACTATGCGCAACACTCTCCAGATTACGTCGAATAACTTCAAGGCATTTGACGCAAACAACTGTGACCGGCTCTTCCCGCTGATACAGATTGGTTCTTTGCGGTTTGCGACGGAAGGGGTGATATGGGGAGAAGGACACAACTTAGTACTTGCGCATGATGATTTTCAGTGGTTGCGGTATTAGACGACTCGCGAGTCCTGAAAGTTCGAGATGCTAATGTGACTACATTGAATTAAGAAAATTCAATCGTTATTAGCATGCTTCACTATAATGTCTACATGGAGTTTAGTAGACGTAATCTTGGCTGCCATTGATCACTGAAATGCCTACATTAGCTTTGGGATACTTCATTTCTCGCTGTCTATCAGGTACGTAGGCGTCTGGCTAGTCTACCATCTCGTTGATCCTTCTAAGTAAGATCGATGTAGTTCTGAGGGCCACCCAGCTGGTCGGCAAGATCATCGACATCAGATGACTCCTTGCCCTTTCCTCCCGTCTTCTGCTTCGCCTTCCAGGCCGTCTTCCGCGCTTTCTCTTTCATCTTGTCCTTCATCGCCTTCTCCTTGGCTAGCGCGATCTTCGCAGCTAGGCTGCCCGCCTTCTCGTACAGTGTGCTGATCACGTGCACGACGTCTTGAGCGCGGAGAAGTGGGTCTTTCGTCTCACCGTCTTCAGCACCAGAGACACGGGCCTTGACGGTTTCGACGAGATAGCCGCGTACTAGGCTCGCGGAACCGTGAGTGAAAGAGGAAAGGACGACGAGGAGACCGAGAACCTTGGAGGACATGTCGTTATCCTTGGCGGGCTTCATTGAAGCGGGTAGGAGCTATAGATACGTCAGTATGAGTCTCAATTCAGTTCGGACAAGGGTTTTACTAACCATCTCCCATTTCCAAGCCCAATTCAAGAAGATCCCCAGCCCAAGGTTGCGCTTGTTTTCCATATCGTCCGGAGCAGCACCGGCGACTTCCTTCAGGTCCTTTTGAACGTCGGCGTACGGGCGCGTGATCCGGATGGTGTTGTCCAAGACGAAACCTCCTGGACCTTTGCCGAGGCTCATGACGTGCGAGCACCTCTGATAGTCGTTGAGATCCTATTTATTTGGTTAGAGTTTGGTGATTGCGCTTCAATAGACATCACTTACCTTCCACGGCAAGCCGTAACCGTCGACCCACTCATTGGACACCTCTTCTTCACCGTTGTAGAAGATGCAGACCTTGG